GTGTTTTTTCTTGTTTTATAAAATTAGTATTTGTCTGCATTTGCCAAAGTGTTTTTCTTTTCTTTGTTCTTTCCTTGTATCTCAGACTTTCTTTTGGTATCATTTTCTTTAAGGTCATCCTTTAAAAATTTGTTTCTTGAGGGCTGGTTCATAGTAAACTTACTACCATTGCTGTTTTGAAAGTGTGTTTATTTCATTCTTGATCTGGAAATGTGTTTTTTTTTCACTGGGTATAAAATTCTGCTTTTGGCAATTTATCATCATTTTCAAGGTAGTGTTCCATTGTCTCCTGGATACTGTTGTTTTGGAAAATAATTTTCAATCTAAATATTCTTCACAGGTTTATCAATTTCTGAGATACTGGTTTTGAGTTTGTGGTTCCTGAAGATTCAGTATGATGAGACTAGATGTTGTCTTTTTTTGATATTTCCAGCTTGAGAGTCAGAAATATATCAGATATGAAGATTGCTATCTTTTGTCAATTTTCATTTATTTTAATTTAAAATTTTTTAATGAAAATATGGTGACATAATAATATATTAGTTTCAGGTATACAGTATAGTGATTTGACATTTATATACATTACAAAAGGTCTACTAACATAAGTGTAGTTACCATCTGTCACCATACAAAGTTATTATAATATTATTGACCCATGCTACACTTTTCATCCCTGTGACTTATTTATTTTATAACTGGAAGTTTGTACCTCTTGCTCCCCTTCACCTGTTTTGCCTATCACTTCACTTTCCTCCCCTCTGGCATTCACAGGTTCTCTGTATTTATGAGTGTGTTTCTGGGTTTTTGTTGTTTATTTTGTTTTGTTTTTAGAGTCCACATGTAAGTGAAGTCATATAATATTTGTCTTTTCCTGTCTGATTTACTTCACTTTGTATAATACCCTCTAGGCCCATCCATATTGTTGCAAATGGCAAGATTTCATTATTTTTTATGACTGAGTAATATTCCATTCTGTATATGTACCAGCTCTCCTTTAGCCATTCATTTATTGATGGATACTGGGTTGTTTCTATGATTTGGCTACTGTAAATAATGCTGCAATGAACAGGGGTGCATATATCTTTTTGAATTAATGTTCTTGTTTCCTTCAGATAAATACACAGAAATGGAGTTCCAGTAAGAGCATATGTTATTTCTTTTTTAATTTTTTGAAGAATCTCCATCCTGTTTTCTATAGTGGCTATACTAGTTTACATTCCCAGCAACAGTGCATGAGAGTTCTCTTTTCTCTACATCCTCACAAACACTTGTTACTTCTTGTCTTTTGGATTGTAGCTGTTCTGACTGGTGTACAGTTATAACTTATTGTGGTTTGATATACATTTCCCTGATAATTAGTGATGTTGAGTACATTTTCAGGTGACCATTAGTCATCTGCATGACTTCTTTAGAAAAATGTCACATCAAGTTCTTTGCCCATTTTTCAATTGGATTATTTGCCTTTTTGGTGTTGAGTTCTATGAGTTCTTTATATACTTTGGATATTAGTCCCTTATTAGGTTCGCAAATATATTCTCTATTCAGTAGGTTAGTACTTCTCATTTTGTTAATGGCTTCCTTTGCTGTACAGAAGTTGTAGTCCCACTTGTTTACTTATGCTTTTGTTTCCCTTGCCTGGTGAGACATATTCAGAATGACTAAGGCCAGTGTGCAAGAGTTTACTGACTATGTTTTCTTTTGAGAGTTTTATGGCTTCAGGTCTTATACTTAGGTCATTAGTACTTTTTGAAGGTGGGGATAGAGATGTTAAATATCTTTTCTGGCCCTTGACTTCTGCCTGATTTTTTTCTGGAGTCTCCAGTTATAAGTTTCCTTGCTTAAGAAATACAAACAATTGGTGCAATAAAGATTGGTTGAAATGAAGGTTGTTTTCCCGTGAGTATCCTACTGTAGGCTAAGGCTTCAGGCCAGCCTGAGGTCCACCCCCTTTTCTTTGCTATTAACCCTTCCCTTCGCATTTAGGAAATATTACCAGTGCTATCTCTAAAATAGATTTTACATCCATCTTCTTGTCTACATCTCCTTTACTTCCTCTCTGGTCCAGGCCTCAAGTATCTCTTATCTTGACCTTTGCAATAGCCTCCTGACTGGCCTCTCTGCTTGGACTCTTATACACATACAATCCCTTCTCCATATGGTAACAAAAGTGATATTTTAAAAATGCAAATTAGATCAAGTCAATCTTCTGCTTAAAAACCTTTCATTGTTTCAAATAAAACCAAGATGTCGTAATTACTATATTACATGTTCTTAAGGACTGACTTGCTCTGGCCTCTCTCAACATCTCTAATTTTGCCTCCTATCTCTTCCTATCCTCCTATTATTAGTTTCTAGCCTCATTGTGTCTTCATTCTGTTACTTTAATAGGACAAGTTCATTCCTGTCTCAAAGCAATGGTCTAAATGTAACTGATGCAGAAACTCCACAGACAGGACTGCTCATTAGTTGACCTGTTCCAGCTCAGAGGATGGTCCCAGATCACTCTTTACTCTCTGATGCCATTGTGGGGTCATTTAAAGAATCATGGGCTTTTCCAGAAGGTTTTATCTGAAATCTTTAAAGAATCCTATCTTTAAAGAATCCTGAAGCTAAAATAGACTATCCACTTACCCTCAGGAAGGAAGATCTCTAGATGAATGCTCTCTAAGTGAATCACTGAAATACAAAAAGAAGTGTTAAGATTTTGTCCATAATTGATGGCATCCTTCACTTAAAAATTCTACTTTTGTGTATATTTAATAATGTCTGTAACACATCAGAATAGTACTACAGATATATAATCTATAAATACATATGTATATATTGGGTATGTCCCAGCACATTTTTTATATGAGTTGACTAATCCAGAAAAAAGAAATCAGAGAACACTGAATTAGATAGTGCTCATGAAATTAAAATGTGTTCATTTTTTTCTATTAAATGTAACATTAGTAAGCCAAAAGTTCTATTGTTTTCCCTGAGGAGTGAGTGATGTCAAGGCAAAAAAGATGCTAGAAAGCAAAAGGGAAATATGAGAAATAAAGACTAGACATATTATTTAAGCTAAATTGACTCTACTAGAAGCATTATTCTTTGAATTATACATCCAGTATAAACTGATACCTATTGGAATTTTAGATTCCTAGTGGGCAAACTTTGATTATAATATATTGAATCCTAAGTATGATCCAGAAACAGTATTAAAAGGACAACTTATCTATCTAGTTATTTACTTAATGTATTTTAGACCATGGGACTTGACTGAAAAGATATATAAAGATCCAGACTTAGAAATTTGCAGTGAGTATTATGTCAAAGTAGCAGTGTGAAGTATTAGTAGTAGAAATTTGTAGCTTTTTCTTGGAGAGAGCTGGTACTACGGGTTGGGGGGGAATCACTAATAAAAAAGACAACTTGGCCACACCTAAATGAATTGTCATAGAACAGGGCACGTTTCTTGTAGGTCTTTTGGACCTTGGCTAAACCCCATGAAGTAGACACATTAGAGATCAAACTGGCATGCATTCACTTGAGGATAAGGAAATAGTCTTCGTTGACAAAGCTAAGAGAAATCTGAAGGCTTTTGAACCATGGCTGTACTCACTACTGTAGTAGAAGCCAAGGGTAAAGGCCCTCCTGAGTTTTGTTTTTAACAGCAAATCCTTGTGAGCTTGACCGTTTCCTCTCTCTGATTTTGGTCACCTCAACTATGAAATATTCCTCCTCTGATTACCAGTGACACTTGGTCTGAACCACTCCTTTGGCATTTACCATTTGATTTCTGAGGGTGTGAGCTCGTGTGTATTGTACTCTACTATAAGGCTGCATTCCTTCAGGCAGGTTCCATCTCTTATCCAACTTTATATCCACAGTGGCCCTTGACACAGAGCCTAGCACAGAGCATGTGGTGAGAGAGCCCCCTGCCTAGAGCAGGGCTGCGCACTGTTAGCGTTTGGTGCAGGTGAGCCTGTGCTGTGAGGGGCTGTCCTGCATATTGTAGGATGTTTACCAGCATTCTGGCCACTGCCTATGTGCACCCCGTCCCCCAAGTTGTGGCAACCAGAAGTTTCTCCAGACATTGCCCAGTGTCCCGGGGCAGGACAAGGGGGAGGCAAAATCAGTCCTGGTTGAGAGCTACTAGAAATTGGGACATTTAGTTCCTAGTCCTGACTTTGCCATTATCTCTCCATGTTTAGGTAAACTGCTTCACCTGTAGGGCTTGAATTTCCTGTCCTGAGCAACAAGGATTGAAATTTTGTACTTAACCTGGGTTCTGTGGACAGCTTTGGGAAGCTTTAATTAATGCAACTTTGTATGGAAATTTTTCTAGGAATAATTCCCTAAGCTTTCAGCATTTTTGTCCAATTATCTATTTCCTCAAGAAAATTAAAACTAGATTCGTTAATATATAAAGTTATTTTCATGTCTTAAGATACAATGGTCCTAACTTTTGTAATGAACATTTCTGACTACAAAATGCTGAGACAACTCTTTGTGTTACAGGATTTTTTATATTGGCAGGTACCACATATTTGTAGTACTTTATTTTCTACTTTTTAAAAATTGGATCTTGAAGCAGCAATAATATGGTAAATAAATCGAGTTACTAGCATGTATTTTAGACAGTCTGGATAATGAAAAGAGTATGTTTATCATTTGCATTCTGCTTCTTAGCCTTTTTTTCCCTTAGCCTTTTAAAACCAGTGTGTTTCACATGACTGACAGTGTGTGTCCCAGTGCTGCTCCGTATCAGCCAGTCACTATTTATGGACTGCTTATATTTCAGGCATATATTTGGGCCCTACTAACCTTTATTTTAGGCTGCTGGTTTCCAAGTCCATTGCACTTGTTATCATAGGCCCATTCTTAGATTTAAACCTAAGTCGGTCAGTTGCGCCCTTTGGGAAGGTAAGGATGTGCTGCTGAGACTTTTTTGCCACAGTTTCATGTATTTGGTGCTGTGCTAGGGTATGAACTGGTACCATTTTCCTCTGTTGCAGGTGAATTTGAAAGGCAAAGCCAGTCCTCTGTCACTCCTTCAAATGGCCTCCCCAAGTGGCTTCTGTGTCTTGGTTCGCTTGCCCAAGATGATCTGTGGAGGAAAACCACTACCAAAAACGTTGTTGGACATTTTGGCAGATGGCACTATTTTAAAAGTTGGGGTTGGATGTTCAGAAGATGCCAGCAAGCTCCTGCAGGATTATGGCCTCATTGTTAAGGGGTGCCTGGACCTCCGATACCTAGCTGTGAGGCAGAGGTATGGTTTGTATGAGTACTGGGATTCCCTTAGCTGCAGGGCAAATATTTTAGCAAGATTTGTGGGTTACTGAGAATAATGAAGCATCTAAAATTCTTTAGAAGTCTAGAGGCTTCTCAGTTGTATATTGAATTTGTAAGAAAATATTCCAACCTCTGAAAAAACTTTATTTACCTAGAATTGGTCTTTTTAGATGAAACATTAATAAGGTGTCTCTACAAGCTACAGGTTATAAACTGATGTCCCCACTAGCCAGATTAGGGCTGCATGTGTTTTTGCTTTTTCCCCCATATGATATTTGTGGGAAATTTTAGTTTAAGTCCAGAATATTTAATGTAAAATTCTGTATCTGGCTTCTCTTGAAAAATGTGAAGATTTGACAATAGTAGGTCAATAGTTCTAGATGGCAATAGTTGGCTGGGTAGGGGCTGTCCACTTTAGGTGAGCATGTTCTCTGCAATTTGTCAGAGTGCCCACCTTTGTAACTCAGACTTAGCCTGATGAGCATTTGAGTTTTCAAATCCTGCTTTCAGCCAAAAGTGATGGTAGACCTAATCCTTTACTAGGAGGAAAAGAGATTTCCCTTGCCCTTGGAAATATGTTGCTATGGAAATTCTGTTCTAACATCTTTTTAGGGAGTTACAATTACCTTCTCATGTATGCATATAGTTCCTCGTTTTAATAATGTGGACTAAACAGACTCTTTTCCTGCCTCAAATGACATTAAGAGTTTGGAGGATTTGATAAAGAGAAGGCCTAAAACCTATGTTTATCATAATTTTTTGGTATAAGATGAAATTGTATTTTAGCTTAGAAGCTTGGCTTATATAAATAAAACTCTTAGAAGTAAAGCATAAATTTTTTTCCTGAGTAATACATTAAAATCGTTACTGTAAAAAATTTAAACTATGTAAAAGTATTTGGAGTATAATAGCAAAAGCCACCTTCCATGAGGTCCTCCTCCCTTGGCGCCACACCCCCAGAGGTGCCCGCTGCTGCTCTCTGACATTAGAGTCAGTGTGTATAGTGGCTAAGAGTAGACTTTGGAGCAGACTGTGTATCTGCTCCTCAGTCCAAACATCTGTGCATAGAAAAAGTCTGGAGGGGGCCATAACTTACTATTAAGAATAAATACTCCTGAGGAGTGGAAGTGTGGGGTAGATGGCTTTTTTTTTCACCCATTGTACTTCTCTACTATCTGAATTTTTAATAATCATTCATTACTTTTATAATGTCTAATAAAACAAAAGAAGTTTTATGTCTCCCTCAATCCTTAATTTCCATTAATTGAGCCAAATTTATTTTACCTATATATGTCTAGACTTTTTATTTACTTCTTAGTCAGTGCTGCTTTGTGGGGTGATGAAATCCCTCAATTTACTGCTTGTTTTGTAAGGAAAGATTTCCTTTTTCTTCATCATTATGATAATTTCATTTCCTACAGTACCGGAGGTGATCCTGCATGTTATAACACCCACATGAACTTCTACGTCTAAGCTTCCTGCTGTAAAACTTCTAGTCTCTTACTTGGTAACCAGGAAGTCAGCTCCACTTTTGTAGATCGATGTGTTAATTTCACATTTATCTTTTGTTTGGAATCTTCAGTCCTTGGACAAATTAATTTTATTTTTTGCCACCCTGCAGCTATTTTAATCAGAAAGTATTTGAAGAGCAGAACGGTTATTATTTGGCTTTACTGTACCTTCATCTGCTTAATAAAAACTCTTATCATTTTTTAAAATATCAAAAAAAAAAACACTACCCGATTCAAATATAGAAAATCATAAAGAAGATATCTCATCACTCTAAATCCCACACCCAGATATAATGTTACTAACATTTGGTTAACTCTTTCACACATACACTCTTATTATGTAGTATATACACTAACATAAATGGACTGTAAAGTGTTTTCTTTTGCACTCTCTTTTTACTTAACTAATATGTCATGGACATCTTTTCATTCAATTGAGATCCATTCTTATTTTTAAAATTCTTATTTTAACAGCTGTATGGAATTTAATCACATGGATATTTAACCAGTCTTCTATTGATGGCCACTTAGATTATTTCCAGTTCTTTGCTACTCTAACTAGTGCTGCAGTGAAGATTGTTTTATGTATATTTGTCCTTAGGATAAATTCCTAGAAGTGGGATTACTGAATCAGATAATTTTCATGTTCAGAATTTGGATAGCTATTTATTGTTAAACTGTTTTTCATAAAGTTTGTAAAAATGTACAGTTCACAAAATTTAGACTCAGATTCGAGTGTTTGATTCATGTTCCACCAATATTAGATATTTAAAAAAATTTTTGCAAATGTATTTTTAAATTGTATATTTTACGATTTTAATTGTAATTTTAAAAATTTAAATTGTAATTTTATTTGCTATCTAATGAGATTATTGACCATTTAAATGTAGTTTTTGATTTGCCTATTCTTGTCCTTTGCTAATTTTTGATACATGATTTTATTTATTTCTTATAGAAAGAATTTGCTCTGTAATGGGCTTAGCCTGAAATCACTCTCTGAGACTATTTTGAACTTTCCCCTTGACAAGTCCCTTCTACTTCGGTGCAGCAACTGGAATGCCGAGAACCTTACTGAGGACCAGGTACTTCTAATCAAAGTAGCTAAAGAACGGAATTGTCATTGCCTGTGAAGTATGATTGTTTTTTAAATTCTAATCCTCACATATGATATAAGTATTGGTCAGACATGCCTTAAAATAGACTTATTGTCTAATGATACCCAAGATAACTGGGCTATAACAAGTAAATGCTGCTTAAATAAAAGGATAAGAGTCTCTATTCTGTTTTACCTTTTTGAGCATTTACTATATACCAGGCATTTCAGAAAATGTAATTTTCTTACTATGAATGCAAATGCATAATTTAAAAAACCAGTGTTGTGAGGCATTATAAGAAATAGTATTTCTCTGCCTTCCCTCTCCTATTCCTTATTGCTCTTCCCTCTTCTCAAAAGTGACCAATTTCATTTATTTCAGAAAACACCGTTATATATTTAAATTACATGCATATATGACTTTCTTATTTTACATCTTATCTTCTGACGTCTTTCTGTGGAAGACATGATTTAGTACTCTTGTAATTCTTCTATCCCCAGGCAAATACTTACTCAATCCTTCCAATATAGGTAAATCATCATTTTTACAGATTAATATCTACTACTTATATTGATATTATTTATAGCTAAGCTGCATAGTAAACTGTACATAAGGTTTTTTCTTATCCAACTTTTTGTTTTCCTAGGAGTAATAATAGTATCTGTGTTTGCTTGGTTTTCTATATACCTATTAACTGTTTCAACCCTAGATTCTAACAGAACTGTACATCTCCTCTGGCTGGTTCAGACACATCAGGTCACTTTTTGTTTCATTTTCTCTTGAAGCCATCACTTCTAAGTATTTCTGTCATCCTGCTCCTTTCAGGAATGATTGCATTCCAGACCTGCTGGCCAACTCCTACTTGGAAGTTGTACTTACTCTCAGCTTGGGCATTTCCTTCACCTTTCTTCTATAGTAGATATTCTATCTTCTAATTCCATGTCTTTTTCTTTTCTTGTCTTGGCAGAGTACATTCATAATAGCTTCCCAAAGGGAGCATAGGAAGTTATAAGTTATAACAACTGTATATCTCTATTAACTGATAGTTTGGCTGAGTATAATATTTTACAGTGAAAATAATTTTCCCTCTGAATTTTGAAGGCAAAACTCCTTGTCTTGTAGCTTCCAGTATTGATGTTAAGTGCTTGTTTTTCTTTCTAGAAAATTTTCTCTTTATTTTTAGTTTTTAAAATTATGATGACATCCATTAGTGTGCACCATTTTTCATTGTAGTGTTGGAATTTAGTGGACCGTTTCAATCTGGAAGCTCATGTCTTTCAGTTCAGGGAATTCTTCTCATAATATTTTGTTGAAAATGTCCCTCCCTTTTGTTTCTGGAATTCGTGATTTCATTGATGCCTGAAAAATATTTTCTCTCTGCTTTTCTATCCCTGTATTTTTTGGTTTTACCTTCTGAGAAATATCTCAAATTTTTCTTTCAGTATTTCTATTGAATTTTTTATTATTCCTATCATAATTTTAAGTTACAAGAGCTCTTTGGTCTTCTCTGAATATTCACTTTAAAAATAACCTTCCATTTTTGTCTTAATGGATATAATATCTTCTATTAGCATGTTAAAGATTTCTGAAGTTTTCTTCTGCTTCCTGCACTGCCTCTTTTTCCACTGAGTCAGTAACTATAGTCAAATGTCAGTAAGTATAAGTCTTTTCTCTTTGGCTACTCAGTTTCTCCAGCAGTAAATCTTCTGGTCTTCTGCCCAAGAGGTATAAGCATCACAGCCTATATTCTGGTAGCTGAGTGGCAGAAAGGTGCTGGTAGTCTCACCATTCAGTATGTAGACTTTCTCATAATCCCTCTTTTTTCAGGTGACTCTTGGCCTCCACCCTCTGACATATCTGGTTATTACTAGATACAGATCCTCTATGATTGGGCCATTATATGGCTTATATTTTACTCTTTTTGGGGTTAGAGAAGGTGATTCCCTAGCCCTGAGGTGTAAGGGAGGAGATCTGGAGTTCTAACTGTTCTTTGTGGAGACTTTCATCTTCTCCTCCTGTTTTCACCCCTACGTGTACCATTGCTTTCACAGATAAGGGTTGTGAATGCTTCCCATTCCTTCTACTTTGTAATTTTCTGTGGCTCAAATTAATTTGATTTTTGGATTTTTGGCTTAACACCCCTTGTAAGCCTTGGTTTCATCCCTCTCTTACTTTCCACATTGGTTACTACTTCTTGTTCATCTTGCCAAAATGTTAGTGGAAAGATTTAACAATATTTAGTACCTTAAGGTTAATGTTATCTTGTGAGAAAGTTCTGGGAGTCAGATTATTCAAATTTGTTTTCTGCAGACCTTTCTGATTCCCTGGGACCCTGAGTAAAGTACTTCTTTGTGCCTTGGTTCCTTTCTTTCTTTTTTAAAAACCGTTTTATTGAGATACAACTTACATGCAATAAAATTCAACCACTTAAAGTATACAAATCAACTGACATTAATATGTTTACAGAGTTATGCAAGTATCACTACAATCTGATTTTAGAACATTGTATCACCTCAAAAAGAAACTCTATACCCATTAGCAGTCACTTCCCATCCCATCCCTGACTCCCACCTCCCTGCACCAACCCTAGCACTAGTTAACCACTAATCTACTTTCTGTTTCTATAGCTTTGTCTAATTTAGACATTTTATTTTATATAAGTGGAATCATACAACATGTGGTCCTTTGTGATTGGCTTCTTACCATGTTTTTGTGGTTCATTCATGTTGTAGCATTTATTGGTACTTCATTTTTTTTATATTGCTAAATATTCCATTATATGGATATATACCACACTTTGCATATCCATTCATCAGTTGGTGGACATTTGGGTTGCTTCCATGTTTTTGGCTGTTATGAAAAATGCCACTGTGCATATCTGTGCATAAGTTTTTATGGATATATGTTTTCATTTTTCTTGAGTACTGGGAGTGGATTTGCTGGGTCTTATGGTAACTTTATGCTTAACTGAGGAACTGCCAGGCTGTTTTATTTTATATTTCTGCACAATTTTATATTTCTACCAGCAATGTATGAAGGTTCCAGTTTCCCATATCTTTACCAACACTTGTTATTGTCTATCTTTTTTATTAGAGCCATCCTTTCAGGTATGAAATTGTATCTCATTGTGGTTTCAATTTACATTTCCCTAGTGAATAATGATGCCGAGCATCTTTTCATGTTTATTGTTAAGTTTGAAGAGTTATTATAAATTCTGGAGACTAGTCCTATATCAGATATATGATTTATAAATATTTTCTCCCATTCTGCAAGTTGTCTTTTCACTTACTTGATGGGGTTGTTTGAAGCACAAAAGTCTTTAATTTTGATGTGATCCAGCTATTCATTTTTTCTTTTATCACCTATGCTTTTGGTGTCATATTTAAGAAATCATTGTCTAACCAAAGGTCATCAACATTTACTCCTTTGTCTTCCTCTAAGAGTCTTCTGTTTTAACTCTTACATTTAGGTTTGTGATCCATTTTGAGTTAATTTCTATGTGTGATATGAGGTAGGGGTCCAAATTAATTCTTTTGCATGTGAATATCCACTTGTCCCAGCACCATTTGTTGAAAGTGCCTTGGTTTCCTTATTGTTTGAGAACAATTTGTTAAAAAGCACTCTGAACTCTTTGCGTTCAAGCACACTCTTCCTGCTGATGGATGTGTAGATAGTTGGGTGTAGTGGGAAATTTTATCCAAACTTGTTCTCTTCTAAGAGGGTGCAATATTCTTACTAATAGACTATTTAACTATTTACCATGCTTGGTAATATTAAAAGTGAATTAAAGGAATTTCAAAGTTCTGCCTTTTGTTGGGAAAAGCTATTAATTATAGTCATGACTGCTTTTATTTATGACCAGCTTGCCTGTCACCAGTTGCTTGGGAGAATGACTTACCACTATTAAATAAATTCTGGAAAATGGGCCCTTGTGACTTTTGATTTCAGGCCTGTGTTTGAAACCCATTTGTCTTCCTTGTTTTCAACATCTTATTAATATGTATGGTAGGTTATTTCTCATTGAAAGTCACAAAGGCCTCGTAATGAATCTTGGTTTCTGGTGTCCTAGATCATGACCACCCTCAGGTGAATTTCATGTGTCAGACTTGTGGGCACTACCCTATCCTGAACTTGAGAAAAAAATCTGTCTGGCAGGTTTGGTAGCAGATAGAAAGAAATTTCACTGATTTATATAGATTAGGGTTTTTTGAGCATTTAAAATAAGTCATTATTTCAGCTATTTTAGTTAAAAAATATAGATAGGAAACATGAGCATTCATTATACTATTCAATTTACTTTTGTATAGTTTAAAACTTTTTGAAATAAAACATTTTTGAGAAGTACATGGTGCCTAGATTTTTGTACATCTAGAATTTGTACATCTTAAATCCTAAAAGTTGTCTGTATTTTGTGGTTGACTTTGAAGTTGCTCTCCCAGGTTTGTCTTCCCGATTCCACTGATTTCTGACTTCTCTCTTCAGGTAATTTATGCTGCCAGGGATGCCCAGATTTCAGTGGCTCTCTTTCTCCATCTTCTTGGATACCCTTTCTCTAGGAATTCAGCTCTAGAAGAAAAAAATGACTGTGTTGGCTGGAGAAAAGTCCTGGAGAAATGCCAGGATGTGGTAGACATCCCATTCCGAAGCAAAGGAATTAGCAGACTGGGGGAAGAGGTTAATGGGGAAGCGACAGACTCTCAGCAGAAGCCAAGAAGTAAGAAGTCTAATATTGATGGAATGATGCCAGGCAACCACCAAGGGAGAGACCCTAGAAAACATAAAAGAAAGCCCCTAGGGGTGGGCTATTCTGCCAGGTAACCAAGTTGTTCACTGTCTAAGAGAGTCAGAGGCCCAGCCTCCAGCAAAAGGCACGATACCTCACGTTGAGTCTCAGGAGAAGGTTGTGTTATAAGGTAGCAGAGGGGCTCCAGGGGTTAATTTTATTTTTCCTTTCTTTCAAGGACAGTTGGGGTTATCCTTTTGATTTATTTGTGTATTTTTCTCCTTTTGTCTTCCTTTTATTTTTTTATTTTTGGACAGCTGGGGTGGAAGTGAAGAGTTTATCCTACCTTTGTCACCTACCCTGATGTGACTTTGGACCTGTAACTTCTCTAATTATAAATGAGGGTATAATTAATATTCTCTTCTTGCATCAGGACAGCTGTGAAAATGAGTAAAATGAAGTGCCTCATACTTGTCAGAGAAACTGTCATCTGATTTCTTGTTCACTTGGTATCTGATTACTTAGAATGGTATCGAGCTCTAAGCCAGTGTTATTCTCTAACCTGTGGGAATTTTTCTGTACAACTTATGCCTCTATTAGAGAAAGATGACTAATAAGTACTTTGGAGTGGAAGTTTGGTCCCTGTAGCAAAGTGCCTTTAGGAATTGATGATTATCGAAGCAAGTATTGCATATGAGCCAGAAATAAATCCTGTGGCCTTCATTACTTTAGCTTAAAATTCTTTAATTTTAATTTACTTTGTTTAATCCACTGATTATAGGGCAGCTTTCTTGGTGCTCTGTTCCCGTTTGCTTTCACAACAGAACTGTGTAAATACAACCCAACTCACTCTCTAATGTCCCAATCCATAAAAATATAAACTAGAAGTCTGAACAAATTCATTTTAGTTCCTAGCCCAATGCAGATGGAGAAATAAATGAAATTTTTTGTCCTGTTTGTTTTTTCCCTTAAATGTAGTATTTGATCCTAGTGTGGAGAATAGCTTGGGTCACTCTGCAGACAACATGGGGAAGAAACTGTTAGCTTTCGGTTTTGGACTGAATTCTCCCTTCCTTGCAGAAAATCACCCCTCTATGATAACTGCTTTCTCCATGCTCCTGATGGACAGCCCCTCTGCACTTGTGACCGAAGGAAAGCTCAGTGGTACCTGGACAAAGGCATTGGAGGTTTGAGATTCCACTGTCATATTTTAAGTCTATTTAGGTGAATGTGGGTACTGGCAGGGGTGGGAAGTGAGGAGGGAGAGGGATGGATAGAAGAAGGCAGAGAGACCTTGAGACAAGTGAGACTTGAGACAAAATCCAGGAAAAGTGACATTTGCCAGGACACAGCTGAGAACAGTTAAGGTTGTGCTTCTTCCCTGGGGGAGAGGTGGACAAACAGTAACACTGCTTTTCTCTAAGAGCTGGTGAGTGAAGAGCCTTTTGTGGTCAGGCTACAGTTTGAACCTGCAGGAAGACCTGACTCCCCAGGAGACTACTACTTGATGGTTAAGGAGAACCTGTGTGTAGTGTGTGGCAAGAAAGACTCCTATATTCGGTGAGTGTGGGGATGGGCCACCCCGATTGCTGTTCATGGAAATTGCTTTTGCAGCCACATGCAGAGCCCTCAGGGGCCTTGATTGAATCTGCCCACTTTGGCTATGAGACTCATCCCTAGAGGTCATCCTCCTTTTCCCAAGAGCTTTGACACTCTGCCTGGCCTTGCTATTGTGGCCCCTAGCCCTCCTGAGCCCAGAGAAGTTTCTGGAATGTTACACTCTTCTCAGTAAGTTTGCCATGAAGTTTTCCTTTTTGCACATGAAGGACCAGAGACCAGTTCCCTCAGAAGCTCTCTTTCCCTCTATGTCCTTATGACCCTCCCTTGAGTGGTTTCCAACTTTCGAAGCCTTGATAGGGCTCATGGAGTATTCAGGTGACCTGAGGGCACGCTCTGGGCTGGAAAAACTATTCCACATCAGGGTCCACATGCAATAAAGTGAAGCTGCCTGCTGGGCCCCCGAGCTAGACACTTGGGTTTTTTCCCTGAGGAGCAACTCACTTTCCTCCTTTCTGCCCTTGCAAAGTGAGACGAATAGTTGTTGCTGAGAGTTTTTCCTGAGATTTTAATTCTCCTCAGAAAATAATGGTGGACCTTGATGAATTAGGGAAATAATCCAAGTAAGGGATTCCTCAGATGAAGGAAATTAGCTTTCTTAGGTCACCAGGCTTCCAAAATTTCAGGAGTAGAGGTTACATCCTGCGTGAATTGAGAGAGTTGTTTTCTAGATATTAAAGGCCATGAGATGTTTTTTTCAACTCTCTGATACCTTTCCTTCTGGGAGCTCAGCCTTCTCAAAGGTTGTTATTAGCTCCTCCCTGCCCCTGGCCCTGATAGCAGATGGCTTACTTCCAGGGGAGAGGAGCCCAGGGCACAGGTCGGGAGGTGGGCCGAGATGGAGTAGGTAGTATCTTGTTGGGCTGCAGTGCCCAAGCTGTCAGTCCAGATCAGAACCCTGGCAGCCTCCTGTGGGCTCCCTGTGTGTTCTGTGTCATATGCTAATGAGCACGGCCCCGCATGGGCTTGTTCAGGAAGAATGTGATTCCACATGAGTACCGGAAGCACTTCCCCATTGAGATGAAAGACCACAACTCCCACGATGTGCTGCTGCTCTGCACCTCCTGCCATGCCATCTCCAACTACTACGACAACCATTTGAAGCAGCAGCTGGCCAAGGAGTTCCAGGCCCCCATTGGCTCTGAGGAGGGCTTGCGCCTGCTGGAAGATCCTGAGCGCCGGCAGGTTCGCTCTGGGGCCAGGGCCCTGCTCAGTGCAGAGAGCCTACCTGCTCATCGAAAGGAGGAGCTGCTGCAAGCACTCAGAGAGTTTTATAATACAGACACGGTCACGGATGAGATGCTTCAAGAGGCTGCCAGCCTGGAGACCAGGTACAACTTACAGTTCTGGTCAGAGAAGGGACTGAGAATAACCCAGTGACACGAATGCTGACTCCTTAATGAGAATGCTTGCTAGAGATGGGGCATTAGCCATTTAGGTGCAGTGCATAGCCTGATGCTTGTCCTATTAAGTTTTTAATGGGGGTTGGGGTAGAACAATCTATTTGAGAATTTCCTTTCCATAGGAGACTTGCCTTCTATCCTTGACTCTTTAAGGTTATATACGTGTGTCCAGTCATATTCATGATTAGCAGGAGTGTTCAAATGCAGGAATGTTCACAGAACCCAAGAATGGACTAACAGTTATCAAAGGGAAAGGGACTGGGGAGGATGGGTGGGAAGGGAGGGACAAGGGGGGGAAAGGGGCATTACGATTAGCAGACATAATGTAGGGGGGGCACGGGGAGGGCTGTACAACACAGAGAAGACAAGTAGTGATTCTATAGCATCTTACTATGCTGATGGACAGTGACTGTAATGGGGTATGTGGTAGGGACTTGATGATGGGGGGAGTCTAGTAACCATAATGTTGCTCATGTAATTGTAGATTAATGATACAAAAAGAAAAAAAAAAGAAAAAATATAGTATTGAATTTTATCCTTGTAACTATTCTGTGTGGTTGTAGAATAAACGTTATTTTCCAAGTTTTATATTATAGAGCCTGAGTTGAAAGCTAAGTATTTTGCCATGGTCGTATTAGAAATAATGAGACTGGCTACTTTAACCAATTCCAAGATATATTTACTAAAACTGCTAAGCTTCCCCTTTCAGCCACAGACCTTGCTAACAAGTTCATCTTGCTAATTTGGATAGAAAGACACTGGACTTGGATGTCTAGAACAGAAGAGAACAACTGTTTGGAGAAAGATAGGCAAGTTAGTGGGATGCTTGTGAGCTAAATAATAAAATGTCTGCAGATACCCAGAGGGCACCAACACTACTAGGCTGGCAGGATCTTGGGAGGGAAGTTGGAGAATGGGCTGTGGTTGCAAGATGGGGAGCTGAGTCTACAGGGCAGGGAGTTTTCCTTGAGAAAGGTAGTCCTTCTTCACAGAAAGTGAAAGCCAGGTTCGCTTGGTATCAGAGCAGTTTTTAAGGCCTCTCTACTTAGTTGGGAGGGAGGCAGGGATTCATCTTCCTGTCAAACAGTACCCGCTGTACAGCTGAGCAACCATGGTAGCATTTCATGTGACTGAAACATGTCCCATGGATGTGGTTGGGCATTATTCCTGTAAGAAAGAAGGTACCAAAGAAATGTACCACCTTGCATTTTATATTCAGGTATTATTACACTGTTAGGACAAACTGGAACATGTGGGTTGATTTAACAGCCTCATGTAAGTACTGAGTGTTGTTCAGGATGAATAACTTGAAAGAAGGTGAGCTGGTAGCTGAGTAACCATGGAGTAAATAAAAGACCAACATTCCTCACCCATTATCATCAAGACAGTAGGGCTTCTGTAGTGGGGACCGAGCATGATGCAGTGGCCCCCAAGTATAGCTCAGAATCCCCAAATGCCTTCTATTTGTGTTGTGTGCAGTATGTCCAAATTATTTTTTTTAAGCAGATATGAGAAAGAGGATATTTTAAAAATATTAGGAGTCTAGTGACCTCCCCAAAATCCCCTTGGCCTACAGTATTTGAAGCATCTGAGAGATTGTCCTGCACTCATTTCCCTCAGTACAAGTACTTTGTGTCTTGGCAGGATTTCCAATGAAAATTACATTCCTCATGGGCTGAAGGTGGTGCAGCGCCACAGCCAGGGCGGGCTGTGCTCCCTCATGCAGCTGGAGAGCCGCTGGCGTCAGCACTTCCTGGACTCCATGCAGCCCAGGTACCTGCCCCAGCAGTGGTCAGTGGACCACAACCATCAGAAGCTGCTCCGGAAGTATGGTGAAGACCTTCCCATCCAGCTGTCATGATAACTGCTTCCCTCCCAGGTTAGGACAGCTGGGAAGCTGAGCCAGGGTTGAAAAGTAGCCCTTTCCTGTGTTAATACATCTTTACTTGTCACAGCCTAGCGATACAACTCAGAATACTAACCCCTGCTGGTCTCACGGTGCTTCTGGTGGTGCAGGCTGTCGTTTTCAGGGGAGCTGATGGCTGAATTTTAATGGGGCACAGTAAGAAATCTTTTTTTCCTCCCTCTTATTTTTGTGGACAAGGGGGACCTTGGCCTCTGTTTTACTCTCCGTCCTCTGTTTTCCTGTGCAGACGGCAAATGAAGGCTTCTTCCTCAAGTGGTTTGTCCAGACTCTCAGGTTTTTAATAGATTTCTTCCTTGTCCAGTATATTGGTGTATCTCAAACAGGGGCAGCCAAGGATTTCAGTCCTGTCAGGTTTAGAGGGGAGAATAAGTTTTTCCAGAGGTTGGAGAGGTGAACAAGGGGTCAGATTGATTTTCCCAGTTCAGCCTCACCTATTCTTTGACTTAGTGCTCTCCTACCATTCACCTGGCTGGGATTCATCCCACCTGGGTCCCTTGAGTTTATTTCACAGACTTGAGAACGCCCTCCCTTTACATGTCCAGGACCAAAGCAGCAACTTCCTGCCGTATGCTTCCACCCAAACGCCGGAGGGAACCTTTTTCTGGAAATAGACCCGTTCAGCTGGGTTGGGCCGAGAGAAGCACAAGCCCCATCTCCAAGGAACATTGATAGTGTACTCAGCTTTCCCTTTCATGTTGTTTGTTGTCTGCTTGTTGCAGTCCTCTTGCCCAGGGCTGCAAGGTTTTTAGCTCAGTCGCTTTCTGAGAGCAAGATTATTTTCTCTCAGAATCAGTATTGGGACTCCTCAGGGTGCTGTGTTCCATCCGACTGGCAATACTGGCCTCTTTTAAACACTTCTCTGCTGGAGTCATTTGGTCAGGTTGCAATGAGTGGATTTCTCCATATCCTCTCATGCCTGGGACACTGATTAGTTAATATGTTTAGAAGCCCCAAATGGTGGTGTTACATCTTTCAAAATGTGAGGCCACCACTTTGAGCACAAAATCAACTTATTAATGATTAGTATTTTTTCTAAAATTAGGAAAACTTTTTACTATACAAGATCTTAACAAGCTTAAAAAATGATTTTTTTAACAATTTTTTTTTTTTGTCCAGAATTCAACATGAGCTCTGTTTTGAAATTTTGCCCAAGTTGGTGATGGTTGCTCTAACACTGATAAATAAAACTACTTCTAAGCACAAAGCTCACTGATTGTAAATATAAACTTTTTTATTCATAACTTTATATAATTGGTAAACATTCTTACGGGAGGAGACGTTTATCCTACAGGTCCCTGTGAGTGGCAGTACCTTGATATGTGTGCCTGAATGTACAGCTTTTGCCCATCAGTAGTGCCTGCAAGTGAATGTGCCCAGCCGCAGTTTGACCCTCTGCCCCTCCATTCCCACTTGTCCTCAAACAGGCAGCTGTGGCATCTAAACTAGAAATCCTTAAAAATGAAGAGTAGCAGCCCCTTTGGGGATCGTGTGTTCAGTGCAGTAGGTTATTAGGGGCATGTGCCTCAGTGGCTGTGCTGTGTGGAGCCCAGGGATGAAGAGCCGTGGAGACGGATATGTGCATCGTGTAGTCAGGCTTGCCACAAGAGGGCACTCATAGATTTTGTTTTATATTCATTCTTGATAAATAAGGGGCTTTTTATACTGGTTCCCAAGCATATCTCATGACTTGTATTTCAAAACTGGGGTCATTTTGATAGCTTTGCAAGAAAAACATCTTCCTGGGAAATAGGGAGGAGGGCTGTTTCGTCCTCTTTCCCTGTGATCCTCATACTAAGAGATGACGAGGTCACTTAGGTGCAGTGCTTGCTGTGGAAGAAGGAGTGGGTTCTCCAGCAGAGCTTCCTGAAAAGCCCAGTAACAGAGCCAGCAGCCACGGGAGAGGAAGAAGCTTGACTGGCACATGAGATGTCTCATCCTTTTCAGAAGAGTTACTGTGTAGATTTGAGTCTCTGCTCTCGGAGTCAGCGTGGGACTTCAGCAGCCTTTCCCTAAGCCTGACAGTTATTATCTGAAATGAGATGTTTTAGGGTAGACATTTTATAAAATAAATTTTTATTGTTTTTATTTTCAATAAAAAAGTAGTATGTGCTTATTAGAGATGAGTTTAATGAAAGAATAAACATCATCCATCTTCCCTCCATCTAGAACCGAGCTAACTTTTGCTGGCATGTTTATGAATTTCATTATTTAAAAATGTATACTATGTGTATAATATTTAAAATTGAGAGTCATGTGTATATGCAGCATGGTATCCTATTTTTTTCCCTCATTTAACATGGTACCACAAGTAATTAATTCCCTGTGTCTAAATCTTTGAAAGTGGATTTCTTGTGGCTTTGCCTTACTTTTGTTATCCATTCTCACACTGTGGAAAATTTTATTTGTTTCAGATGCTTTTTTAATATCCACGATGCTGTGATAAATTTTCTTGTGTTCTCAGTCTTTAATGTGTACCTTTGATAATTTCATTGGGATAGAATCCTAGAAACTGGATTATGAGGAGGGGACACCCATTGCTGGAGTGAGTACAAATTGCTCCCAAGGGGGTGTTTCTCTCTGACCGATTAGCTTGTGTCCCAGCGATTTGCCGAGCTTTCATGTATGAGTAGCAGTGAGAGGACAGGGTCAGAGCAGAGGCCTCTCTGGATGTGCCCTGACCATTATGTTTATAGGCTCAGAGTCTTTTCTCTGCTTCCCTTCTGTCTCTCATCCTTTACTGTCTCAACTTACCAGTCAGTTTTTTGAAACACTGCTTATTTTAAAATATAAATATAAAATAAGAGCTACAGACAGGGTTTTTTTCTGAGAGATAAGCAGTTAGTGATTTGCCATCCTAATGTGCACAGAGCACAATATTCAGGAATTTGTTGCCTTTTAAGAGTGCAGCCATAAGTTACTTATTCTTATCCATGCCCTGGATAGAGATCAGTTGACAAAAATGTGTTGTGTTGAAATAAAGCCATTTTAATCCGCCATTGTAGACTCTTAGGAGCCCAGCAGGCAGAAAGAGCTTTTGTTCAGCTTCCTATTCTGCCTGTTAGTTTGGGGCCCTAACATTTGACTATGACTTAAATTCCTAGTTTGCCTTGCCCCTATGAGTTTCTCAATCATTCATTTATCCTTGCTGCCTTTTTTTTTTCTTCAGTGTGTCTCATCCTCAAGGAAGATAGCACTTTTTACTTTTAAAGGAGATAGTTTCTCAGTTTGCTAGTTTACAAATTATGACATTTTTTAAAAGGATTCTTCTTTCTGATCTTTCGTTTTTTCTGTTGTTTAGATGGTCATTTTTAGAGTACTTAATTCCTCAATACAGTAAGAATCAGTTTTTCTTGGTGAGATAAGCTAAGAGAGGGTGTAAGAATGATTCTTGTTATGATTAACTTTCGAGTAACATTAAAATAATATATAACCCCGAAAATACTTTTGGAATTCAGCTGGACTTCTCAGCTACTCACCAAGTTGTTACCTCCTGCTGGAGCCTAAAACCTCTGCCTGTCCCTAGTCCTGGAGCAGTTTTGCATTAGGTGATAGAGCAGGGGTGACGTGCACCCAAATAGCCCACTTGTTCAAAAGCATCTCTCCCACTAGGAGTCCTCCCTCCCTTTGCTTGAGGCACCTAGGCCCCTGCTTTATGCCAACGTGTTATTTGGGAACGAGGGCAGTACATTAGACCATTGTTTCCTTCTAACCAGCTCTGTCTATGGCCAACTCTTGTTGGAGATCCCTAGGCACTGTGGGTAACTGGACCAGTCAGTAATCATTTGGGGAATAATCAAGAACTGACTTCCTTCGCATAGGAAAAGGGAATGTCAGAGAACCAGGTTCATGCAGCCTGAGTTGTGCCCTGTGCTGCAGCCTGGGTTGTGCCCTGTGCTAATACGGCACGCACTGCTTTACAAGGTCATTCTCTGCTCTCAATGAATGGAGGTCATCTCATACCCTCCAGACCGAACTCAGAACATGTGTCCTCCTTTCAGCTTCCTTATTAGTTGTTAATTCTTGAATTTCTTTTTTGCTAAATGAGTAGCCTGTTGTCTTTCTGCCAGTATAAGTTTCAAAAGCTGCTGAGTTTAGAGTCAGCATTATTGTAAGCAAGAAGTGTGGTCAGGAATATTTCTGACTTGGAGAGGCTACTTATATTGTTCTCCTGCTTTCTAAAGATATCCCTTTTCAGGCTTCAGCATGCTGGGGCAGAACTGGGATTCTAACTACTCTGGCTATCAGGGTATCTATTAAGTTCTGGATGAGAATCAGAAATTTGAGCTTAGTAAGCTAATAGGACTGAAAAGAAATGGAAATTGAGACATGGGTAGTTTTAAAAGAGGTATGTGTATTTGGTTGGTGAGGTGGTGGGGGTGTTGCCCACAGACCTAACTTTGTATTTTTCTTTTTCCTGTACTCAGTTCTGGCAGGTGTTGGAGGATCAAAGTAGTGGACTGATGACCTGGGTTCTGGTTTTAAAGATGCATCAGCTGTGTATCTTGAACCAATCACTTAACATTTTTGGGCTCCTTTCTTTACAAATAAAATTAGGAATTGGAATTGAATGTGCTGAAGGGCCCTGCTAGCTGTAGCACTGTGTAGTACATCCCACCGTTTCTTTATGTGGCACTTCCCCCTGGGTGCTCGGCTTTTTTGCCCACTCTCATCCCACCCCTAGCCCTGGGAATGGAGACTGTGCATGGAAAGAAGGGGAATGAGGGAAGCAGGATGCTACACCATGTCCTCCTGGCCTCAGTGACTAGAGAGAAGCCTGCTCCTTCCATCTGGTTCTCTACTGGGGTCAAAATACTCTTCTCCCCAAAGATGTGCTGTATGTGGCCTTAAGGAACTCACATTTCTACTCAGTTCACTATTTAACAGTAAAGAAAGAAGAGAAATCTTTATCTTCAACTACATTGCTGGAACTGTAAGGTTTACTAAGAGATAAGCATAGAATGTAAATGAGGCAAGTTTGCCAAGTACTGTAGAAGGGAAGATATTGAGAAGAAAAAGTGACTTTCTCATTTTAAGGATAGGAGAAATTCAGGTTATACTATACAGAGAGAATTGAGTAGAATTGGGTACTTCAAAGAAAAACACTAAACCAGTAAGTTAAAAGTATTCTTCCTTTTTTTTATGTTGTCATGATTGTCTAAGAAAATTTGAGAGGTCCATAATATTAACACATTGTTACCCGACCGTGAGTCCTACGACCTGAGAACTTGCAGGGAGACTGGGAAGTCTCTGGAGCCTGCATCTCATACAACCTGGACTTGCCTTGGGGCCTTGTCCTGGTTGCCTTTGCCTGGCTACCAGTGAGACAGACGTGTACCAAATGTAAAGTTGGTATAACCTGCTAAAAGACATTTCTGTCTATATATATAAATATCCACTCCCTGTGACCTGGCAGAAAGTATATTTTCAGTCCATCCTTGTGCTTTCAGTTTTAGTCCCAAAGAGGGTGTGGTGTATTGGCTTTTCTTTGTGAAGCACAGATCTGTACCAAATATGGTCAACTTGAAGCTGTTTTCATAGTAATCACCTAGATGTAGACATGAGTGCCCTTCCCCACCCATTTTCCACCAAATTGGGGTCATTTTATCAATGTTCAAGAAAAAGTGAACAGAGCCAAAAGGGAGGCTAAAGCATGTTTCTCTGCCCTCTCCTAGATGGACCCTACCTTAGGTAATATTCTGACATCTTTTGTTAAATTCCATAGAGCCAACTAGAGCCCAATCAGCTAGCTTAGTTTTTTAATCAAGATAAGTATGTTTGGCCCCAGGGGTTTGGTAGGCCTGAGCTGTAGCACATAGGACTTCCTCTGAACTCTTGGATACAATGAGCAGGACTAAAGTTGGCTCTGAAAAGGAACAGAAGATGACTTGGGGTTAGTTTTTCTTTTTTAAATGTTATCCAAGTGCAGAGCAGTTGGCTGCCAACCCCCTCTCAAACCATCAGCAGAGCTTGACCTTGGCCAAGATTTTGCCTCATCCTTTCGGCATTTCAACACAGCGCTGCATTTCCGCCGTGGAATGCTTAACCAGAAGCACATGCTGTAGTGATGGTTTCCAAAGAGCAAGTTTTTGCAAAAAGTCCGCATCCTGTTGGTCTTTTTCAAAACAACAGCTTTCTCTGAACCACCAACCCAATAAACCCCCAAATGGTGATTCTTTGGCTTATTCATACACAAGGGCTGGGATTATTAT